CTGGCTCTCGTGTGCGCACCAGACGGTGTCAAACCGCAGGTTAAGGTCACGGACGTGTCTTCAACCTCTGCCTGTCCTGACTGGCCAATTACGTTCCGTGGCCGGCTCAAAAAGGACCTTATTGCGAGGGTTGCTTACGGTCAGACACTCTGGGAACCGGTGACCTCACGATGGTTGCAGACATCCGGACCCGGCGATTACACCCGCCAGAATGCGACTCTGGATTCGGCCCGCTCATGGCTGGACTGCACTCGTCCGGGAGTCGCTTACCTATTACTCACATACAACTCCTGTATTTAATTAAATTATTTATAACACTCTGGCCTTCCACGCCTTTCCTTATCTACTAGTGTATAACTATTGGGATACGTTCATCTTCTATTATCCGACCGGACTACTTCGTATCCTACAGCCCCACCGCAGCCGTGAACTGAATCACACTTGAGTTAATTTATCCGCCCAGCTTACTGCAACGTATGAAATCCTCCAATACGGACATAGTAAGCTGACTACCCAGGCAGGATTTCCTAAGCAATCAATCTAAAATCCACCCGCTGTTTACCAGGCACACTTACTTATTAAGAGGGGTTGGCAGAGTTGAATAATTCAACTGACCGAATTGTGGACAATTCGGCAGCCTCGTAGGGATTCGAACCAACTGAGTCAACTGAGCTAGTAATCTTGTGGAGTTTAGATTAATTGCTTAGGAAATCCTGCCTGGGCAGTCAGCTTACTTTATCAGTATAGGTAGATCCCATACGTTGCAGTAGGCGGGGCCGGTAAATCGACCAAAGTGTGATTAAACTCTCGGCTGCGATGGGGTCTCCATAGTTCAGTTGGCGTGGGTTCGAATCACGAATTTTTCACAATTGGGTCAATTGTATTATTCAAATCTGCCAACCTTCACCTTATAAAGAGTCATTTGTGGATAAGCACTCACCGATCGCTAACGGAACTCACTTGTCCCGCGCTGCCTTGGGGGTTCACTCTCGAGTCAGGTCAGGTCATGCCCAGAACCAATGAACGGATACAGACTCCCTCACAAACAACCGCCAACCTAAGGTAAAAAGCTGTTTTGTGTGTAGCTTCAACAAACTGCACCACCGTTAAAAAAGGCAATGAATTCTGACGCCATAATGTGCCGAATTGGTGAGAATGACGTTACAGTCAATATGTACATACTCGTCAACTGGATACCTGACGCCGAAATCAGTTTAGAATTCAGGGAAGGTTTTTGACAAACTGAGTCCATTAGAGTTAAAGAGCACCAAAGGTAATGCTACTGAAGTCCCCTGTAAAATTAAACTAAGTACTAAAAGGACGATCAGGTCAACAAGAATATCGTCTAGTTTTCCAGTACAGATTGCCCAAGTGCGCGTTTAGATACCTAAACGTGAGGACTGCCACTAGCAAAAAAACCATAGATCTTAATATTCAGCAAAATTACAGCATATTCGAGTAGCTGGCTTCAAGTTCTTGCTTCTGCTTCTCCAGGTATTGGTTCCTCCTTTCTAAATCTCCGAAACGAATCTGCATGTCATCGGCCTCCACTGCATCGATGTACGGCTCCACCGGTGAGCGATCTTCTCTGTGGTTGGTACCTCTTTCTGTAGCCGCATCAGCTTTTGGTGCTGGAAAGAAGTGACAACCTTAAGGGTAGTATGCACACAATAAGTTTACGTCTAATCCACCCTACCCGAATTGTTACGCGGTCCATTACACCAGGAGAACAAAGTTGTAACATAAGCCTATAGGAATGTTTTGAAAGCTTTTAACATTTTGTTACGAAGTAGTTAGGTGACAGTTCTAGCGGATAAGCTCGTATACCCCTCCTAACTTATCGTGCAAATTAACGGGCCTTGAGAAGGGTGACGTCGGTTGCTGCCAAACAAGTACAACGTTGAATATTTTTATATATTTTCTCCATAATATGCATTGGAATTTATAAGAGCGATTAAAATCAATTTAAAAAGACACACAACTTGAGTATTTATCTTTAAGCTATATAATTTTCAAACGCTTCTCCAAAAGCCGGAATTCTGAAATATCTTAGGACGGTGCTTCAATTTAATTGCTATCCCAACTTTTTTCTGACCGAAAACATATTTTAGTATTTGGGCTAACATTTCGCCAGGTATCACATCTGCCCTATAAGAACTCTCTTACAAGAGGACTTTTGGTCAATAAAATAAAGTGATCTTACGCAAGTTTTTTGAAAATTGAAAATAAACTCCTATGTGATTGAAAAGAACCGAGATTGAAACAAGACCAAACATAACTGGCGGCGCTACTGACTTACCATTGATGGGCGTAGCGATGACAGTTCCAGCGGGTAGTGAATTCCCGGAAGGCCTTCGACGTCCAGTGCGTTCGGTTTTTGGACAGCACTGTTTACCTTTGAGGCATAAATGCGAAAAATTTACCATTAATTCCTGTTACAACTCACTAGCCTGGATATGCAACAAAAACTATAACATTGTTTCGATCGTCAATTAGGAGCTTTGCAGCTACATAATTTCTAATCAAAACTATACATGTCAGATAGACTGTAAGGTTTAAATCGTACGACTGCGCCTCAAAATTGCAAAGGAGGGCAGCGTACCTGATCGCAGTTGTGCGAACGGGTCCTGTTTCGGGTTAAATTAGTCTCCCGAAAAACTGACTAACGCTCCCTAAAACCTTGGGTTTCACTTGATTTTTTCATTTGATTGGATGGGAAAAATTTTTATTCAAGTAGTAGTCAGTTAACAAACATTTGGTCAAACAGTACTCGGAAATACTCCAGGGTATTGGAACTTCGATTGCCGGGATGTGTACCAGAACAAAAAGCAGTATATATTGAGATCGGCTTATCCTCAAGACTGACCATTTAATTAGTACCGACAGCAAAACTC